TGTATATATATTATAATCATAAAAGTAATATTTTAATTAAAATAATATGTGTCTCACAAATAAAGTGAATACATTTTACGTAAGCATACATTTAAGCGCTAAATGAGATTAATGTGTAAATTAGATAATTATATCGTAAGTTATATATCGATCGATTGGTATATATTTTTATTCGTAATTCTGTAACCAAAGGGTTAGTACATGTAGTAATACAACAGTGAAAACCCCTGTAATATGTATTATAATATTTAGTGAACCGGTGTTTAGAGAGATTAAAAATTTAGTTTAAAAATTAGCTAAATTTTATATGAAATATTTACGTCAATAAAAAATTTCCCAAAAAAATCAATGAAATAAATACACGAAACAAATGATTAGACTTTAAAAATTATGTCTTAAATATGTTTAAATTTATTGATTTCTAAATGAAATAAAAACTTTGAATACATTTAACATTCAAATGATGTCTATCTCCCGGTATTGTTAATGTATTTACAGTCCAATGGCATGGCTTTCAACATTTAAAGTTTCAATTCTGGGTACTTTTACGTCTATAAGTGGCTATTAGCGAGTTAATGACCCAGTTCATAATTTATCCATATTAAATTTATATAGATAGATGTAGTAAAGCTGTATTTAGTGCATGTGAATCATACAAATGACAGAATATTTTGCAAATTGGTAAAATCCCGTTTGCAATGTCACGTATGTATTCACAAGTGATTGACATTAATTTTATAAATAACTATAAAAACACATAATTTAATTAAATTGCAAAAAACAAAGTTTAATTAATTTCGTAATCAAATTAAGCGTAAATTTTATTATGTTAAAAAATTTAAAACAAAGTAAATATGTTTTTAATCAAATGTTTGTTTGTTATTCAATATTATAAGTAAACCACTAAATGTAAAATGCTAAAAATTTACAAAGCTACTCAATAAATTATAACTAAAATTGATATATAAGCTAAATTGTTTTATACTAGGTTAATTAGCCTTGATCATTATAAGACATTTAATTAAAAATATATTCTTAGTCATGGAATACAACCGATATTTTGGGTAATATTATAACGATTTCCAGAATTTGAATTTAAAAATAGTTTTAGTCGTTAAGCGTATTGTAAAACAAGGCATACCATCTATTGACTACACTCTAGTTTACCATTGCTTTACACGTTTAGATTTTGAAATTATATTCTCCAACACCTGTCCCTTCAACCCAACCCCTAATAATATCCATATATTTAAATTATACAGTAGCTATTGGGAGGTATGACCTAGGTCAAACACATAGCCTATGTTTAAATATTAACCATCTGAATGTCAATAAAAATTTATCGTTGATAACAAATAATTATTGAATTAATTTGTTTTCATATTTAAAATTGGTAACCAATTTATATTTTTGAATAAATGATAGTTTAAATTTTAAACTTTGAAATACCAATCACTAAATGTTTAGAAATTTATGGACAATTTGATTTGATTTTTAAACATTAATTAGTATGTAACTAGTTAAATGTACTTGTATTTCTTTTATTAATTACTAATTTTACATTTCTAAGTATTTACAATTAATAATCGAAACAAACATTAATTAATGCATACTTTGTTTTATTTCACAACTAATTAGATGTTATTTTCAACGCAAACTTTTTCTAATTCTTACATTTCTTGGCATTTGTTGTGTGGCTAAAAGATTTTCAACAGTAATATCGAAGACACGAATTGTGAACAACTTCTTCGGATGTCTTTCGGACCAAACATTGAAATCATTGACGAATTGTTTGCAAAAGTCTGTGTATTTTTGTTGTGTGTAATGGGAATAAAATCGCAAATCAATTGTCGATAGATTTGGAAATTTGTATATCTGTTGACACAATATGTCTGGCCTTTCATTTAAATCATTGATATAAACGATTAATTTTCTAATTGATGTGATTCTTGCGATCAAATAATATGTTTGTCGATAACATGTCAAACAATTGTTTTCATTGACCGCACATTTGATGGATGTCTGGTTCATAGTTAGTGTCTTAAGCACTGGGAAGAAACTGAAGAGCGACTCAAATCCATGTTCTGTCAAATGGCACGTCAGAAGGCAAAGTGTCTTCAATTTTAAGAATTGATTTGAATGTCCATTGAATTGATTGTCAATAAAATTAGGATTAGTTAATTGCAGAAATTCAAGATTTGGCTGCTTTTGGGCCACTCTTTGAAAACAATTCCATTGATTTGTGTCCAAACTTAATGCATATCCAAATGCCTTTAAAGACATGCCATCGATAATCAGATCCAATGCTTCGGCTGTCACTCTAAGCCACAAATATAAATAGTCCAAATGTCTGTCACTTGTGGCCAACAATTCTGCCATTAATTCCCTTTCGATAACAATATTTTCTGATTGAGATTCTAATGATTTAATAGTTTTGGGCAAACATTTGAATAACTCTAAGATGTGTTCACTTTGTTTGGGATATATTCGCAGTTTTGTTAGTCCTTTCATTTCACGAATCAATTCAATCATATTGTCTGAATGTTTACAACAATCAGTCTTCAATTCAGTGACTCTTCCCGACAAGAGTTGTCCCAATTGTCTCATCTCTTCATTTGTGAATTCATCGAAATCGCAGAAAGAAAACCATTTGATTGATTCAAATCTTTTAAGAATTTCATAGATTGTCGTGAAATTGGTCTCGAAGTGAGTGATCACTAAATACTGAATGTTTGGTAACTTATGGGCCAAACATAGGATCCGCTCTTTACTACCGATAAGACACGGCTTTCCGTTTGAATGTCTCTCCAGAAAACGATTTGGAAATGAATATAATTTGGGAATTATATCATTCTTGTGGTGATTGTGGTTATAAGTCAATGAGTTGTTGAATCCTATAGTCTTCTGTTGTTGGAACCAATAATTGGCGCACTTCTGGAACTGCTTGGAGACTCTCTCCAGAGGTATCAACTCATGTATAGACAGATACGACAAGATTTTGAGCATCAGATCCTCATTCAAGACATTAATCTTAAGAGTTTTACAACTTTTAGTGTCTTCTTTGGTATTCATTTTGAATACAATATAACGTATTTTTAAATTGAAATTTTAAACTAATTAAATGTTTGTAAATTATAACAATACTACCACTCTATTTATTAAATTAATTAAAAATTATAGTTTTAAAAATTATAAAAACAAATTTTAATAATAATGTAACAATTAATTACAAAGCATTGTTTAAAGTACTAATTAGTGTATTAATTATTGATAATTATATCAATGTTTGAAATGTATTATAAGTTTTATATAAATTTAATTTTACATTCATTGAAATGAATTGCGTTAATAAACTATACAAATATTGATTATATAATAATAATTGTAAACTACTTTCAATGCAAAACTCAATACATTTGTAATATTTGTTAACAAAATGTGTTTCAATGAGTGAGACATTGAATCGAGTGATGAATACATAAGTAGTGATCACTTGAATGACACGAATGTAATGCCAATCCTATGAACGCCAGACACAACACATCCACACATTTAGTGACCGATTGTTCGCTCGAATCGAACGCAGAATCAAATCTTTCCTCACATTCAGAGACCAAACGAACCGATCGTTTCATTCCATGAATGAGAGGAAGAAAACGACACAAGAGTTCGACAAACCATACAAACAATCCATTCATTCATTCATTTCTTATATTATTTATGATTTAATTAAATATTTTACACTAAAATGCATTGTTTTCTAACATTTTGTTTGATTTAATGTTTAATTAATTATAATTTAATCAATAAATAGAGAGAATATCTATAATAACAATATTAGACACACTTTTATAGATATAACAAAAACAATACTTTTATAAATTGAATGCAAATTTAAATATAATTAAAAATACAATTCATTTAATTGTAATTAAAACTCAATTATAATTTCACTAATAATTGGAAATCCAATCCATTTGTGAATCACTTTTCAGTCGTCGACTCAATTGAGCGCCGATTCTGTGCTTCAATACTGTCTTCCCATTGGCTGACAGACTCTGTGTGTAAACACCTGTAAGAATATGCCATACATTACGTCAAACCTATCGCTAAACTAAATAATTTAATTGTTTTAATGTTTGCCATAAAAACGATTAAATACTATAAGAATATTACAGAATATATAGAAATTTGATAACTATTTTGTTAATGTATTTATAAATAAATTGTTTGCAAAAGTTTTGTATAATTTGTTTAAATATAAATGAAATTATAGTACAAATGATTTGCCGATTGAGTCTTTAAATTGTTATTTAAGTTTGTAAATTGGGATTTAAATTAAAAATAATCTATATTTTTGTAATTTATAACATTTAAATTAATTACAAAATTTTTAACATAATTTTAATAAATATTTACAACATAACAATAATTGAAAACTACATTTAATTCATACCAATACTCAACTCATAGGAAGGCATACATTGTGTGCAAACATACTGTAAATCAAACCAAATATTTTAGACATTCATAAAAATAATTGCATTTTGTGTTAAAATTCAAGCATTTGTGTCGAAAATCAGACTTTTTTGCCCCGAAAATGATGTCCGAAAAGAGACTCAAGAAAGCAATTCAAAGGGACGGCTATTATAAGGTATGAAATCATATATATTTGATATACAGAATAATAATGAATACATTTATTGATCCATTAGTTAGTGTACGAAGAGTTTGCAAAGGACTGGACTCCGATGCCTGAGATCCGTGCGCTGCCGCCGGTCTTATACACGGCTAATGAGATAATATGGCTCATCGGTCAGGGCGTCGACCAGTTTGTGGCCCACGGAAGAGCCGCTGCCCTGCGATGGGCCGACGCATACCACGCTTGGCGTCGACAAACCTTTGGTCACCACTGTATTTGTCATCAAATTGTCGTTTAGTTTTTGTTAACTAATTAATTATTCTTCAAAAACACTTTTATTGAAATCAATTGTCAAAAATGTAAAAATTAAAACATTTATTGAGAAAATCTTTGTTTTTAATCGCAATTATAGAAATATTTTCCATAAAATATTCATTTTACTTAAAAATTCATTTAATTTCTTATCAAAACAATTATTTTCTTCTTTGGGTGAAGACATCCGAAGAGCCAAAGCCTGAGAAACCGGAACCGAATGGAGTGGATGTCTGTTGTGGGGGCGAGTGCTGAGCGGTTGAGGCCAGGGCTCCAAAACTAAGGTCATTGTTGACCGAATTAGCGAATCTGTCAGCAAAACAAACATTTATTATCACAAAACCAAAACAAAATCAATCAATCAATACATACCCACTCGTTGTGCCAAAAGAGGATTGAGTGCCGAAAGTGGCCGAACCCGAGCCCATGGATCCGAAAGCAGGAGCGCCGCCAAAGGTGGCTGCGCTGCCAAAAGCTGACGGCGCCGGCGGTTGTCCACCAAATGTCGGCGAAGAGCCAAAAGCGGGCGGAGGCTGAGCGCCAAACAC